CTTAACTGTTCAGGCTGGCCTAGAACTTCATAGTTTTTTAATGTTCTAAATGGCACCTAGCACAGTGCTCCGCATATTGTGGGCACTCAATAAACACACATGGTCCCTGACTTATGATGGGTCGACTTATGATTTTTCCACTTTACGATGGGGTGAAAGTGATATGCATTCAGTATAAACTGTACTTTGAATTTTGATCTTTTCCCAGGTTGGTGATACACAGTACAATCCTCTCTCGTGATGCTGGGCAGTGCTAACGGGCCCTCCCGGTCAGCCACGCCATCAAGGGGGTAAGCAACTGATACACTTAGAACCATTCTGTTTTTCACTTTCAGTACAGTATTCAATAAATTACATGAAATATTCAACACTTTATTATAAAATAGGCTTTGTGTTAGATGATTTTGCCCAACCATAGGCTAATGTAAGTGTTCTGAGCATGTTTAAGGTAGGCTAGGCTAAGCTACGATGTTCAGTAGGTTAGGTGTATTAAAGGCATTTTTGACTTAAAGGATATTTTCAACTTAAGATGCGTTTATCGGGATGTAACCCCACTGTAAGTGGAGGAAGATTTGTACTTGTTGAGATGAACTAAGTAGTGAGTCAAAGTGAGGTTCAGATTCTGAGATGAGTATTTGCTGGAAGGAAAATAGGTATTGTTAACATACTTAAGCAACACAGTTGCCACCACATATTGAAAACAGAATGATCCTTTCTATACCAGAGAAAAGTCAGTCTGTTTTTATTTTCCAACGTAAGTTTGTAAATGTTAATTCTTTCAAAACTTTTTAAGGTTTTCATGTATCTTAAGGAACGGCTCTAGTTTTAGGAATTGGATTCTCAATGATACTAGTTAATTTACTGGCTATTCCTGAAAGGTTCTTTGATATTTAAAATTTGTCAGACTGTTTTATATCATTGTCCCTGAGAAATCAGGGCTGCTTTATTACTGAATTTTGAAAAATTACATTTTAGAAAAAGCACTGAGTTCTAAGCATTTTCCCACATCTGATTCAAATCCATTTTTTTTAATGGTCTATTTCAGAGGTTTAAATTTTTCTTTTCTTTTTTTGTTTTTTTTGAACCCAAGGGTTCCAAAGAGGGGCTTCAGGTCTGAGTAGGAGGGGCAGAGACCTGCTGAGTTGTCAGCTTCTGAGCCCTGACACCTCCACTTCAATAAGAGCAGTTTGTTTTTATTTGCATAACATTTATTTTGAAAAATATTTCAAAATCATTGTTGAGAGGTGACCATGCAGAAGGGAAACAGTAATAAGAAGCTCTTAAAGAACTGGTGACCACTATTTCCTGGTTTTCAACTGCTCTTAGCAAATCTTTAGAGGCTGCTCCATAAATCATGCTGAGAAGTCGCCTGATCATGGGTCAGTGATAATGACTGGACAGATCACGTATTCCATGTATCATGTATTCCATGATAATAACTTTAATAGAGTCACCAATAGGTTTGGCTGCTAAGATCCATTTAAAAATATTTAATTTTGGAAGGGAATTTCCGGGAATACTGCACTAGAAATGGATTTTCTTTACATTTGGATTTTAGAGTTAGGAAATAATCCTATCTTCTTAAAAATAGGTTGAAAGTACAAGGTATAAGGATGGGGAGTTACACTCACTAGAAGACAGGGTAAGTGGGGAGGGGCAGCTGAGACCCAACATGAGGCCCATTTGTTACTTCGGCTTCTCTGAGGATGAAGGTTCAAGGAGAGAACAAGGGAATGCAGAGGGCAATTTCCCATCCAGCAATGGTGAGCACCAGAGGTCCCAGATGAAGCGAGTGTTCTAACATTGGGCTGAGTCCAGTAATGGAACATCTCAACTGCTTCTTGTAAAACTAGAGAGGTGGGCAGGCATTTAAATCTGCCAATGGGGTCCTTAGCCACTAGACTATTGTTTAGGGGCAGAGCTTTTGACCCTGAGACTGGAAAGACCTAAGCAGCGTTTTAGTTCTTCCATAGTTAATTGGGGGCACTGGCAGCTTATTGGTGTGGGTACCTAAAATGGAGAATAAAACAAAATTCTCATCCCACAAACTGGGGCACATGAAAAAAATGGGTCTTTGGAGTTTGAGGGCAAGAACTCCATTATTAGAACAGAGGAATACACAGAGGGTTGCACTGCACCAGAATGATTAGTTGGCAGGCACAAGGATCCCATGTTATGGATCATCAAACTGGGAGCATACTTCTAGTGGAGAGGGCATAGGTCAAGATGTGAGAGAAGGCAAGGTCAGGTAAAATGAGGCTGGGACAGAAAGTGCTGAGAAAAGTCAACGGTACGCTGTGACTTTAGGTCTTTTTTTCACAACAAATAAAGGTCATACATTCTCAAACCTAAAGACAAGATCTTAGTAATTCTGTTCGTTGTTTAAATCTGGCAAAAGAATAATTAAATAATTTGAAAGCTAAGAAATGTGGCCTACTAATAATCTTTGACAAAGTTGTAAACAGAGAAGGGAGTTGCTATAAACATAGCTAGCTCATTCTTTTTGTGCATATTTTTAGTTAAGTAAACTGATGGTCTTTGGTCACGTCCTTACATTTTATCTTAGAATCCTCTCAGGTGCCGGGGTTGGTGTTCAGAAGGATGCACTCCAACTATAGGTTATTGAAACAGTTGGGCTTTTAGCCTCATAAAGACCTGGGAAGACAGATAAAAGGCTAACGGAGAACTGCAAAGTATGAAGGGGGTTTTGAATTTTATTTTCTAGATAACAGTCCTTGGATACAAATTCTTTTATTTTTATTTGTAAACACTGCAAGTTTTCTTTAGTTTGTTGGTACAAACAATTCAATGGTTGCACTTGGCAATCTGAAACATGGATCCTAAAGATGCCTGTATATTTTTGGCATTCAAAATCATAGCTTTTTAAGACTGGAAGGGACTTTAAAGGTCATCAAAATTAAATAGCTTCATTTTCCAATTGAGAAGAACGAGGCCTGTAAAAGTTATGCGACTTGGTTAATGCCAGGGCATGAATGTCTGGGCCAGGACTAGAACCTATGACGTGGATTTTCAGTCCACTACTATTTCCATTACTATGCCCATCCTACCTCAGATGACAACCCAAGGTTTAAAAGCAACAACAACTTTAATCTGAATTTGCTCTAACTTTCAAATCACTTTATTATTTCCCATGAGAATTTGTAATGGACATTTCAGTAATGTTGGTGCTAGCTTTGTCTTGCTCTTCTGTACAAGCTCAAAATGTATCCATTCCTACTTTAATCTTTGACCAGTAGTGATGAATTCTATGCATATCATTTAAAAAATGTATTTGCTGAGTTCTATTGAAATGGGCCTTTTCAAAAAATTTCAGTTGTCATGGTGGAAATAAGACCCCATGGATTTTTACCTTTTAGGGCATTTGAGTAATCAATTTGAAAACTCTATTAAATATTTTTTTCCTTTATCTAAGAGACAGAAAAGGAATGGGAATTCTGTTTTTTTTTTTTTTCATCTTGGTCAAATTCTTGTGCTAACTTCTCAGTGATTTCTGCTATGTATGTGAACTATGACCATCTACGAAAATGGTCTGTTTTAGGTCATGGCTGTGGGCAGAGATTAATTGGTGAAAAATGGGCCTGTTTGTGGGATTTACCACACAGTAAGGTTTCTCATCTCCCTGGAAAAATGTGGAATTAGCTCTTTGAGAAATGCAGGCCTGTCAGGAGGTTGAAGGGAGAGTTTCGGTGGAGGGAAACACAGTTCACTCTCTAAGGCAGTTATGATTGGTGAGATTCCAGAGCAGTTCCTTTGGTTCAGCAAAGTTCTTCCCGCTTTCAAGTCAGTCTTTCCTACAAGTTGCTAGTTTCACCAGTAATTCACAGATAGTATCTTATTTGGCTTCTTTCAAGGCGAACTGATCCAAACTGGGCAATGGTCTTGGAGGGGACTCCTAATCCTCCCATACGCCCTCTCCAGAACACGCTGTTACGGCGGAAAAGCCTTCAATGTGGGAAGAACTTTGCACTGCAGATTTTCTATGCTTGTTGAGGGGGATACGGGCGTGAACCAGTGGGTGCGTATGGCAAGGGTGTGAAGCAGAGGATGGCCTGTTAGTTCCCCGCCTGTGAAGATGGTTCTCGAGGAGGACAAACTCGTTGGATGCTCCCAGAGAGCACTCCACGTGCACGCTCCTTCCTAAGAACCACTGCAAAGATCCTGGGCCTGCTGTGTGGCCCAAGGATCCACGTCGCTTTGAGGACAGACACACAGCGATTAGGGTTTCTTCGCCATGCCCATGGTGGTTGCCGCCCTTACCAGATCACAGCTCGGCTCGGATAGTCCAAGGGCCCACCTTGAACCGGGAGGAGGTTAGAGGCAGGACCTGCCGCTCATCTTCCCTACTACGCACTCCCCTTGGGGACCGCAAACACCCTCTTTCCCCAAGACCCCAGCGATGCCCTGTCAAAGCCTGGCTGGGTGTCTGTGACTTACTCCCAAAGGGAACCTGAGCGCCCGGGGTCCCAGACGGCGGGCTTGGCCCCTCCCATCCGGAGAGGACCCCGGCCGCCCTCGCGCCGCGCTCTCCCCGCCCGGGCGCGCTCGGTCGCCGGGGTCCCGGCTGGGGCGGGCGGGCTGCGGCGCCGGCTGCAGCGGGACGGGGCGCGGGCGCGCGGGCGGCGGGCGGGGCGCGCGCCCGGCCGGGGCAGCCGCGAGGGAGGAGCGCCGCCCGCCCGCCGCTCGCGCGCCCAACGGACCAGGCTGGGGCCGTGAGGTAACTGTTGCAGCCCGCGGGAGCAGGCAGGCGACGCCGCGTCTCCCGTCCCGAGAGGTGTCCGAGGGAAAAGGAGGGGGCGGCCGAAGCGGTCCCGGAGAGAAGCCCCTGCCGCCCCTGTCCTCAGCCGGCATGTCGCGGAGCCCGCCGCTCCTCCGCCCGCGCGGCGGGGACCCCGGGCCGCGGCGGCGGGCACAGCCCTGACGTGCTGGGACACGGGGGCGCCCCGAAAGCGGCGGCGAGGGGCGAGGGAGCGCGAGCGGGCCGAGCCGAGCCCGCGGCCACCCCGGTCCGGGCCATGAGGAGGGACGAGCGAGACGCGAAAGCCATGCGGTGCCCGCCGCCGCCGGACAGGGCCGGCTCGCCCCCCGAGAGCCTGAGGAACGGCTACGTGAAGAGCTGCGTGAGCCCCCTGCGGCAGGACCCCCCGCGCGGCTTCTTCTTCCACCTCTGCCGCCTCTGCAACGTGGAGCTGCTGCTGCCGCCGCCGGCCTCCCCCCTGCAGCCGCGGCGCCGCTCCCCCTTCTCCCGGGCGCGCCTCTCGCTGGGCGCCCTGGCCGCCTTTGTCCTCGCCCTGCTGCTCGGCTCGGGGCTCGAGGGCTGGGCTGCCGGCGCCGCCCGGCTGCGGACCCTGCTGAGCGTCTGCTCGCTCAGCCTCAGCCCCCTCTTCAGCATCGCCTGTGCCTTCTTCTTCCTCACCTGCTTCCTGACCCGGACCAAGCGCGGCCCCGGCCCGGGCCCGGGCCCGGGCGGCGGCGGCGGCGCCTGGTGGCTGCTGGCGCTGCCCGCCTGCTGTTACCTGGGGGACTTCTTGGTGTGGCAGTGCTGGTCGTGGTCCTGGGGGCCCGGAGAGGCGGGGGCCCCGGCCCCGCACACGCCCCCGGCGGTGGCGGGCAGGTTGCTCTGGGTGCTGGGCTGCGTGGGCTTGCTGACGCTCGCGCGCCCGCTGCGGCTCCGGCACAGCATCCTGGTGCTGCTCTTCTCCAGCTGCGTCTGGTGGGTCTCCTTCACCAGCCTCGGGGCGCTGCCCTCAGCCCTCAGGCCGCTGCTCTCCTGCCTGGCGGGCGGCACCGGCTGCCTGCTGGCCTTGGGGTTGGATCACTTCTTTCAAATCAGGGAAGCGCCTCATCATCCTCGGCTGTCCAGCACCGCGGAGGAAAAAGTGCCTGTGATCAGACCCCGGAGGAGGTCCAGCTGCGTGTCGTTCGGAGAAACTTCGGCCAGTTACTATGGCAGCTCCAAAATGTTCAGGAGACCTTCGTTGCCTTGCATTTCCAGAGAACAGGTATGTTACCAGAAAGCGAGGTTTGCTAAGGAAGCGCTGCGGTTTTCTCCCTTCAGTTCTGCCAGTTGAATTAGCGTATTTGAAAGCATGTTAACTTCCAGGGTGGAAAAAAAAGTTTTACTCTGGAAGGAACTCCTAAAATACAGGAAGATTTTTTTAAAATGCAGAAGCACCTTTTATTTTTGGATAGAAATGAAATAGCAGTCTAATAATATTGTACTTCTTAAAGACTTTGTTTATGCAGTAGATGAGTTCTTAGAAGACTGAAGTGAATTATTTGCGGTTTAATAGCTTGATTACTCCCACTGTGGCATACTCTGATGTATATCTTTTTGGTGCCATTTATCTGTTGCTCTTGTAGTGGTGATGTTTCTCCAAAGATAACATACAGCCATTAGAATGAGTGAATATATGTATACACATACACTATGTGAATTTTAATCAGTGTGGTTTTATTATTGTTGATAAGAGAAGGAATTTGAGATCTTATAGTGAACAGTGATGAGCTTTGGAACTTAGACTTGTTAGTTTAGATGAAAAGAAATAATTGGAATAGTTGGAATATTATATATATGTTATATATATATATGTTAGTATTATAATAGTTGGAAATAATTTTTAAGAGATTTCCTCCCAAATTTCAGCAGGATAGGCTAATATAATCATTTACAAACTAACTCATGGTCGTGTATATTTGTTGCACAGTTAGGAAAATGTTGTAAGAATTTAACCCTTAAGTTTAGTACTGTCTGGAAAGAAGCGAAAAGCATTTCCAATTTTTTTTTTCCCTGTAGGTGTACATGTTTTTGTTTTTAAGAAATTGAGATCTTCATCAGGGAACAAGCTTCTATCTTTATGTAGCCTAGGGAAATCTCACCTGTTCTACATCACCAAGAAGCTCAGCAAGTATAGCTGCTATTCACTGAGCATTTGCTAAGTGTAAAACACTTACATATATTGTCTCACATCCTCACAAGAGCCTGGTATATAGTAGGTGACATTAACCTCAATTTAGAGATGAGCAAATTGAGGCTTATAGAGGTTACCCAACTTCACACATCTTGTAAGTGGCAGTGCTGGGATTTGAAGCTAGATTTTTCAGTTTTCAGTGCTGTGTTCTAAGTAACTAAAAGATGAGTGTAGAAGTTTTGTTTAAGTAGAAGAGTAGGGGTCTATATCATTGGTTTTCAGACTTTTTGATTAATGACGTATTTTACACTGGGACTCAGTATATTTGAAACAAAAGTTTCTTGTTCTTGTTACATCTGATGCTCTCTTCAAAATAATCTACAAGCTGCTACCTTGATTTTATGACATGTTTAACACTGATCTGTGGTGTTCTGATGAGACTACACTTTGCTTCTTGAAAAGTTTTCAGAGGCTGCTTCTGTGGTCTGTAGTTATTGGCCAAATTCTTGAAAAAATTGTTTAAAAAATGTGCCTTTTGTTTTCTCAGTTTACTGCCAGTGCTAATAGACAATGCTTAGTTAAGTGTGTATCAGGAGAAACACTGTTGTGAGAAGATTCACTGGAGAGCAAAATAATAGCAGCTGTTTTCATAGCATGGCATAGCATTTGACGTTTGACTATATGTGAATAGAATGCATTTTTTAACACTGGAAAAGTGTTTTAGCATAGTCTCATAACATTTGTAGATAATTTTCCTGAATTTAACAGCATTACACTTTAACGTATTCTAATTGTAATCTGTTGGTGTGGTCAATTATGGCTCGTCTCTGGTAAATTGAAAATTCCTGGTCTTCTTAATCCTAGTCTGGTGCTCTTTCCATCACAACAACCTCTTTCAATTTTTAACTAGGTGCAGTGTTATGCTAGGTAGCATATTTGTATTTGTATGAGAGGAAAATACAATTTGTGCTTTTTAAAAAGGGCATATTGTCTTAGTGCAGAAAACTCTTATTCACATTTTGCTATGAATACGAACTTATTTGGGGGCTTAAAATATATGCTAATAGTTCAAGGGTTTATACATGGTTCTTAATGTTCAGCGTCGTGAAATAATACTACTTTGGCATTACTAGAAATTACTAGATATTTTTAAGTTAGTAGAGATTGTAATAAGAATTTTTACTTATGCTTGTTCCTGAAGTTTAACTTTGGCTCTGTGGTTTCGTTTGTGTGTATATTATGTTAAAGAAATTAAGAGGAAACCAGTATTTTTATGGAAGTAAAGGATCAAAAGATTTTCTCATTTTCAAAGTGCTAAATTTTGTATATGACAATTGTAAAGTCACTTTCTTGTTTCAGAAAGGGAAGGAAGACAAAAAGATTGTGGATAGAACCTGACATAGGGGAAAATGTCCTGGGTTCATAGGCAGAGGATTAAGGGGAGAGTCTTGGCTCTACCATGTAATCTTGGAAAAGTCAGTGAAGCTGAGACTCAGCAGCCCCTCAAAGCAGCGGATCCCAGAAGATGAATTCTGTAATACGTCCCAATTCTAGAATTTCTTTCTTTTAGTTTATACTTTTTGTAAGGTATAAATAAAAGTATATATAAGATGTCACAAATTAGTAGTTCTTGAAGTTTTATTTAAATGTTGAACGTTGATACTGCTAAACTATGTTTTCCAAAGTGTAATAATTGGGAAAAATGAACAAATATTCTGTATTTTTTGAGTAGAGAACTTTTAAAAAGTATATGTGGATTCATTTTGGATCGATAAGAAAATTATTATACTTTCATTTCCTTAAGAATTTAAATGTTTTTACTAACATCCTTGAAAAACAATTGAAAACTCACATCAGTATAAATGTTTTTAATTGTGTGACAGTAGATTTAAAGTAATTTTTGACTTTTGGGATGTAATGTTAGGTACTGTGTTGAAAAGTAATGGCATATGTTTGTAAAACACTTGATTTTCATAATTAGCTTTATAGTGTTTGATGTAAGTGCTATGTATGTGTCAGTTCTTAACTAAGGGTTTTTTGTTGTTTTTAGCAAAGCATTTAGAGATTTAAAGTTTAAATCTAGTTGCTGACTGTATTCTGCCTTGGTGGGTTAATGGAAAGAAGCACTAAATTTGTAGTATGTTTGCCAGGAGTCAACTGAAACAAATGGGAAGCTTAAAAAACAAACAAACAGCTGATTAGAAGCTTTGACCAGAATTGAACAAATTACATTTTTATGCCATTTTAGTTGTATATTCTACAATGTAGTTTTCAGCTTTTCAACCAGACCATTTTGTATGTGATAGACTAGGTAAATACGAAGTTTTGAAAAGTGTAAGTTAGTATGTGAGGTATTTTTCTATACCGAAAATGCTAAGTGCTTTCTAAATGGTTAGGTAAATATTTAAAAATTCTGTGGCCTTAAAGCCCATAAATATTATTTAAAGTCTTAATTTTATTTGAGAAAGGTATACACATGTAGTAGGAAGGTTTCTAAAAAAGATTTTAAAGTTAGTGATCATTTACCCCCTTAAGGAATTTGCAAGGCGTACCCCACTGTGAATTTCTTTGAGTCCTGTGGTATTTGTGAAATTTATTTTATAGTTTTAGTAAGTTACTGTTTTAGTCTAACTTCATGTTAATATTTTATAGTAAAATATCAGCTTATGTAATAATTTTATGCTGTATTCTATAAATATTGTATGTACTCTGCCATCAGAGTTATCTTTCAAAAACAGATTTGATCAAGTCATTCGATGTTTAAAAATCTCCCATGGCTTTTCAGTGTCCACAGGATAAAGTTCACGCTCTTGACCCTTGTTGCAAAGTTGACGGACTCTTAGCCTTTTTTGTTTTGTTTTGTTTTTAAAAAAGCCATCTGGGACTTAATGGAGCACCCCCTCCTCACATCCATCCTTGGGTCTGGCTATTTGAGGACTGCTCGTTGTTATTGACTTAAAGGTTTCTTTTTCTTTTGCTTTTACCATTCACACTGGCTGAAATCTCCTTTAAGGAACAAATAAAATTAAGAAATCTTTGGGCAGTACAGTCATACTCAAATTAGTGTATAAGCTGAGAAAAAACTTCATTATAGCAGGGTTGGCCATATTTAAAAATGAAAATTGATGTATTATGTGAAGCAGTGATAATGTGTGATAGAATATTTTCTTTATATTGCATGAAATAGTAACACCTCTGTAGTTTGTTTTCCCACACTGAGTGGAAGTTATATAGGGCCAACAATAAGTAAAACTATAAAGTTTGTTTTCATTGTCTTCAGACTTTTTATCCTCTTCAGTAGCAGAGATTCTTTCCTTTTTCCCTTTCAGTTACCGAGTCAGCCTGTTTCCCTAGCACTTTCTCCTGCCTTCCTATACCCCATCCAAGGCAGGAAGAGTCTATACTTGCTGAAAAAGTTTATTTCAACATAAATATATTTGTACAGATATAGAAGAGATAGAAGAGATTTAGACTTTATCTAATTGAAATCTGCTCATTTTATAGAAGGGAAAGAAATTCAACTCCAGAGAGATAAAAGTATTGTCTCTAGGTTGTGCTGAGAGATTGGGTTACAGGTCTTGACCCCTAGTCTACCTATACTTTCCATAAAGAGCATAGGTACCTGCAGTCATAGTTTCCCAAAACTGTGCTTAATTTTGCCATCTATCTCCCATTATATAAGTGATTGACGCTGGTTAGAGGAGTTTGAAAGTAGTGGTAGGAGAGAGATAGGAGGGGCTCTTGAAATCACGTAGTTCACAATGACGTTGAAGATAAACTTGGTACCTGATGTGGTTACTGCAGAGTGACTTCTCAGGATGCAGCTGGTCTCAAACTTAAGTGCCTTCAGAGGCCAGCCACATAACACATTTATGTTATATGTTGAGGAAGGAGGGGAGGGTAAGAGGGATGGAAATGAACTGGCTATTACCTACTTTGCCTAAGAGCATTCAGTTTAAACAGAACAATCTGAGCAACTATGTTAGCCAAACAAAACTTTAGTAGGAGAGCTGGGTTCTGTCTGTGGGTAGTTCCTGACAGTTTGTAACATTGGGTTATTTACAAGCTGACCCATGTTTATTTAAGTGATT